TCTAACCTTCGACTGATTCACGCGTACTACTGCCTTACCAGTGTTGGCTTGGACCATAGCTCCTTCTTGTCCAAGTACTGTGGCACGAACCCAACGTCCTTTATCCTTGAACTTTGATGAATCCTGAGTCCAAATAAAAACCTTCTCTCCTTGGAAATAGGGACCGTCACTTGGCATAGTCCTTCTTGCAAGATCTGCTCGAAGGTCCTGAGCTTGTCGTGCTTCTTGATGAGCTCTCAAAGCTACACGTTGTAGTTCCAGATTTGTACGATCTTGTGCGGCTGCACTAGCTGACAATTGCTCAGGGCTTGCGGTCTCAAGGTCAAAAAGATCTGGTGGGCGTCTTCCAGTTGCTATCTCTATTGGTGAATAGCCACTGATAGTCAACTGACAATTTCTTGCCCACACTACTTTCTTGACCACTTCTCTGACCGTAACACCACGAAAACGTGGGTCATCCAGATCTACTTTCATAACATGCCACATACGTTTGAACAAACGTACAGCTGTCTCTGCTCGGTTCGGCCAAGGAGTTCTTGGCCCACAAGGACATTGTTGTATACCATGAAACCTGTAGTATTCAACAAAAGCATCTGTGAAAAAGGCTTCGTCTCCTACGATGGCCTTCGGAACACAATTGTTCTCATCAGACCATTGTCTCAATGCTTGGATGGTGGTTTGATCTATGAGGTCTTTCTGCGCCGTAGCCCAGAGAAGATTTGTGGCACCATCAAGAACAAGTAGAATGATATACTTGTTCTTGTGAAGTTCAACCTCACAATGATCAGCAAAAACAACATCACCAAAACATGAAGCTCTAATACCGGAGACTCTGGCTCGTGGCGGAGGTGCCACTGAAGCGTTACAAACACGGCAGTTCCTGACAACTGATTCATACTTCTCTAAAACAGAGTCAGGAAGCTTCAACATAGAAACACGTCTACGAAACTGAGTAGGACTCATATGGTAGTGCTTCACATGAAGCTTATAAAGCTCTACCTTGTCCTCCAGTCTCTGCAACATCTTCCTATATGCCGGTGTCATTGCAACAACTTCACTACCAGGTAATGGGATTGAAATCCGCCTAGGCTCAAGAGCGCCATCACCTGGTTCAAGTGGTTCATGTTTATCACTTGATGGTCCTCTTGATGCTTTAGGAATTTCTACAAGTTCACCTTCTGGCCTCTCAGGTGGTTCTGAGGGAGTATACTCCTCAAGATCATCACCCTTTAAATCATGTGAGGGCTCAGATGGTTTCAACTTGTGTCCCTTCCAAAATGGATCATAACCCTTGGAAGTATACCGAAACTTTGGCGGCACGGGCTTTTCCGCGGCACTGGATGGTGCACCTTCCTTCTCTGACGAGAAGCCTGGTTCCCTGTCCCTTGCAATGGGAACCTTCTCTGAGGAGGAGCGCACCACTGCATCGGGATCGCCAATGCCACGGTGCTCAATGCCAGCTTTCCTGATCTTTAGATCTGGAATTTTGGCATCTGGCTTGAACTTAAAAATTGTTCTACCACGCCATTCATAGCCAATTTGTAGGTCCTTCCATTTTGCCTTGCGCCAATCATCTATCTTCTTGATCTCCTCTCCTCCTTCTTTTTTCTTGATGATTGTCAGTCGCAAGTCTTCCAGCAAGTCAGTGTCTACAGGACAGGACTTAGTTGCTGGGAAAAGAATCTTCCTGTAATCCTTGTGGTGACGTGTCAGTTCTCTCTTGTGAAGATCTACTTCCCAGTAGTCAATCACAGGATATGCATGCTCAGCTTCATCTTCATCACTATTGTGATCAACCGAAATATGGCCATATTCATAGTGAGTGAAGTGAGAGTAAAAGCTCTTCTCGCGCCGAGCCTGCAAACGCACGTCAGACAGATACCATGCAATATCTTGGAAGTCCAAAACAAGATGAGTACTGGCTGCAACCTTCAACTCCAAAAATTTGATACCAAGAGGCACCGATGTCAGGTAAGCATGTTGAGGTGTCAGCCTGAGTTCAAAGCCTAAGTTCCTCATCTGTGGCAAGCTCATAAGCAAAGGGACTTCTCCTTCTTCAACTATGTCGAACTCTGTATTGTGGATCGTCCATGCACGATCATACATGTAAATCACCAGTTTCTGAGAGCAAGAAGCCTTCTGAGAATTGGCAAAGTAAAACTTGCTCTTGGTAGACTCAAAAGAGTACCATAGTCCACAGTTTGGGTGATTGTCGACATAGTTACAAAAATAATCGACTGCACGCCTTGATTCCATAGCTCTAGTGCATCCAATGTCCAGGATTGCAATAGTTGGAGGGAAGCGATTCTCAGTCAAAAATGAAATAGCCTGCATCTCTTTCACTTCTTCCTCAGCGCTCATAAGCGCAAAGCCATCAGGAGCATCTGTAAGCATCTCCTTTGACAAAGAGTACCTCACAGGGGCATCATGTCATCGAAGATCATCTCACCATTGTTGACCTTACAGTCAGCTTCATCTTGACATGAGGTCATCATGCCTGACAGCAAGTTCACCTCACTGTCATGGAATTCAGCTGCTGTTGTCACACAATGCGCAAAGAAACCTTGGTGGCTTCCTGATGCTTGTGAAGATCTTGAAGGTGCAGGCAAAGAACGTGGCTGTTGTTGATTTGCATAGTTTGCATCTTGTTTGCCATCTCCTTTATCTTTTCCTGTTCCTTTCTTGCCTTTTCTCTTGCCTTTTCCTTTGTGGGAAAACCATGCTTCTTCAAGTTGTTGCCAAAAGTCATGGGCATCTTCATGTTCTCCTTGAAGATAGTCATTCATATCTTCGGCAAGAATAGCATCATATGCTACTTGGTTTGACTCCCAAGTGTCCTCATAAGGATTCTCTTCAAAATACTCATCTGGATAAGTTGTCGATTGCTCATCAGCATAATGGCCTTTACCTCGTCTCTTTCCTCCTTTTCCTTTACCTCGAGGTCTGAAAAATCTGCGGCCTGATCTTCCTTTGCCTTTTCCGTTTCTTCTACCTTTTCCTTTGCCTTTTCTGGCTCTTCTTCCTTGGAATCTCCTCTGGAACCAAGAGAAATTCTGTTCATCATATACCCAAAAGACATCGTCCAGGGCATCAAGGAATCCTTCTGTTCCATCTTCTTCATCTTCGGCCCAATAGCCATATGTACCATCGAGTTCTCCTTCGTCTAATACGAGAAATGATCTTCTACCTCCAGCACCTGTTGGCTGCATCAGAGGATTGTCTACTGAAGTCTTTGTTGTGCAGAACATCTCAATGAAAACTGTCCTCAACTCTGTTGTGGTGTATTGCTGTAGGACTCTACCACGATGAGTCATCAAAGAGGTCAAAGTGTTCCTCTGGTCCTGAGATAAATCCGCAAGTGACAGCATGAGTAAGGCAATGAGATTTTCTCCTAAAGGAAAATCGTTCTGATGAAGAATTCTCAGATTGCCATTGACATTCTGCATGATTTCCTGAATTCTTTCCGCTGTTGGAGCTACTCCAGTCATCGCTGCATCAGCTTGCATCTGAGCTTGTACCTGAGGATGTACTTGTGTTACTGGATCCAACATGTCCATCCAACTGCTCATAAGCCTTTGGAGTAAAATCTGAAATCTTGTCATCCACTTCATCATGTCGGCTGATCCGCGATTGAAGCGCACGAATTGCATAAACCTATACAGGAATACATTGGTTGATCCTTTCACAAAATATGGTCGTAGTACTCGTTTGAAGTATTCTACTCCAGCTCCTGGTGGATCATTCGCTTTCAATGCATCTCTGTCTAGAACACGTTTGTATACAGCTGCTTCTCCTTCTAATCTGTTTCTCAATGCTGGTCCTCTCTTCTCATCCTCCAGCTCGGTGATATCACACCAATCGTCTATGGCATCCTCATAGGAAAACCATGAAGTCTTTCCATCATAAGATGGGGGCACCTTTGTAGTGACCTGTGTTGTCATTGCTATAGCTGCTGGTTCTCTTCTCACATGCCTATTCACATAGGCTGCTGGCTCATAAGCCACATCCGCATCAGGCTCTTCCCAGTCGTCAATCCAATCCATGGCCGTTTGCCTAAAAGCAAGTCTATGCCTAGGAAAAGAGCTCACCTGGGTCTTCCAGGATCACTGCTCCGCTACCACTGAAAGAGTGACTAGGGCGTACACGGTTGAGGTGCAGACCGCTAGTGTCTTTTATACGCAGAGTCTTATCCTCTTGAGCCTTATGGCAGTCAAGCATGGACACACTAGATAGGCCACTGGAGTGGAACCTGTACAAGTAGGCCTCTACATTTCAAGGGGAGGGGAGGGGAGGGGAGGGGGGTGCAAAACAATTCATTGATCAATGAATCATCACATGGGAGGGAGGGGAGGGGGGGGGACATTGATCTATCAATCTTTGGTCCCGAGCAGGCTCTCAAGCCAGTCCCTTTGCTTCGCAAAGCAAACTCAAGGTAGTCCTTACCAGGCTACCTTTCATGATTAGGTTGGAGGCCATCGCTATTAGTTTGGAGGCCATCGCTATTAGGTTGGAGGCCTTTGGTATTAGGCTGGAGGCCATCGCTATTAGGTTGGAGGCCTTCGCTATTAGGTTGGAGGCCTTTGCTATTAGGTTGGAGGCCTTTGCTATTAGGTTGGAGGCCTTTGCTATTAGGTTGGAGGCCTTTGCTATTTTGGTTGGAGGAGGCCTCTGCTATTGGGCTGGAGGCCTTTGCTATTAGGTTGGAGGCCATCGCTATTAGTTTGGAGGCCTTTGCTATTAGGTTGGAGGCCTTTGCTATTAGGTTGGAGGCCTTTGCTATTAGGTTGGAGGCCATCGCTATTAGTTTGGGGGCCATCGCTATTAGTTTGGAGGCCTTTGCTATTAGGTTGGAGGCCTTTGCTATTAGGTTGGATGCCTTTGCTATTAGGTTGGAGGCCATCGCTATTAGTTTGGAGGCCATCGCTAATAGGTTGGAGGCCTTTGCTATTATTTGAACGCTCGAGTTCTCGCGCCAAATCATTCCAAATCCACCCAGTGGCTCTGGTGCGGCCGTGAGGATCTCTTTTGTGATCCCTTCTGGGAGCTCATCAGGCCTGGCTTCTGGGAGCTCATTGCTAGCTTGGCAAAAGCTAGATCGGTCTGCTCTTCCCTACTCCAAGAGTAGGTTTGGCTGGACCTCAATTTTAAACCCCTCATTCCTTCAGCTGAGCAAGTTACTCGTCGTCACCCATTTCCTCCTGGGTCTCACTCGAAAAGCCAAGAGAGGAAGATTGAAAAAAAAACCACGACCTTTGTAAAGGACCTCAGGCCTGCACATCATAGTCGTCCTCCATAGCATCTGGCATCTCCTCGTCCATCATCAGCAAGTGGAGAGAAACTGAGAAACCCCTCGGGAAGGAAATGGCAACTTAAACGGCTTCTGCGCAAGCGGAGGAACACCAGCAAACACCAGCCAAGAGTTTTGGAATCAGCAGTTTTGAGTTTTGAGCGTCCCTTTTTGCATTTGGCGTTTTGCCACACAGTATTGGGCATCGAAAGGTGCGAACTTTCTGTTGCATTCTGCAAACCACCATTCTGTCTCGAGCGGTTCAAGTTTGCTTTCCATGTCGGTTTGACTGGAATCTGCTGGAACAAAAGGCCTACAGTCACCGCTCTCAACCCTTATTGTTCATCTTTTGGATCGAGCTTGCATTTCATGCTCGGCTCCTCCTGCACGTGCTCCAATGTTTCAGATCCAGGGTTTTTGCCCTTACAAGACTAAAGCAATCTAAAGTAAAGTGATGGCACCACTACTAGTTTGGAGGCTATTGCTTCTAGGTTGGAGGCCATGGCTATTAGTTTGGAGGCCATCCCTTCTAAGGTTGGACGCCATCGCTATTAGGTTGAAGCAATCAATCGCTTCTAGGTTGGAGGCCATCGCTTTTGGAGGCCATTGCTTCCAGGCAGGAGGCCACGGCCATCGCTATTCGGTTGGAGGCCATCGGTTCTAGGTTGGAGGCCATCGCTTCTAGGTTGGAGGCCATTGCTTTTAGGTTGGAGGCAATTGCTATTAGGTTGGAGGCTATCCCTTCTAGGTTGGAGGCCATCGCTTCTAGGTTGGAGGCCATCGCTATTAGGTTGGAAGCCATCGCTTCTAGGTTGAAGGCCATCGCTATTAGGTTGGAGGCCATCCCTTCGAGTCCATCTGGATGCTATTAGGTTCGGAGTCCATCACTATTTGGTTGGGGGCCATCTCTTCTAGGTTGGAGGCCATTGGAGGCCATCGCTATTAGGATGAAGGCCATCGGAACTAGGTTGGAGACCAGCTCTATTAGGTTGGAGGCCATCGCTAGTAGGCAGGTTGAACGCTATCGCTATTAGGTTGGAGGCCATCGCTTCTAGGTTGCGGGCCATTGCTTTTAGGTTGGAGGCCATCGCTTCTAGATTGGAGGCCATCGCTATTTGGTTGCAGGCCATCGCTTCTAGGTTGGAGGCCATCACTATATTAGGTTGGAGGCCATCGCTATTGGAGGCCATCACTATTAGGTCGGAAGCCATGGCTATAGGTCTGAGGCCATCGCTTCTAGGTTGGAGGCCATCGGCTATTGGGTTGCAGGCCTTCGCTATTAGGTTGGAGGCAATCGCTATTAGGTTGGAGGCCACCGCTAGTACTTAGGGTGGCCATCGCTTCTAAGTTGGAGGCCATCGCTTCCCATTGCTATTAGGTTGGAGACCATCGCTAGTAGGTTGGAGGCCATCGCTAGTAATTAGGTTGGAGGCCATCGCTAGTAGGTCGGAGGCCATCGCTAGTAATTAGGTTGGAGGCCATCGCTAGTAATTAGGTTGGAGGCCACCGCTAGGAGGTTGGACGCCATCGCTAGTAATTAGGTTGGAGGCCATCGCTAGTAGGTTGGAGGCCATCGCTAGTAGGTTGGCCATCGCTAGTAGGTTGGAGGCCATCGCTAGTAGGTTGGAGGCCATCGCTAGTTGGTTGGAGGCCATCGCTAGGAGGTTGGACGCCATCATCGCTAGTAATTAGGTTGGAGGCCATCGCTAGTAATTAGGTTGGAGGCCATCGCTAGTAGGTTGGAGGCCATCGCTAGTAATTACGTTGGAGGCCACCGCTAGGAGGTTGGACGCCATCGCTAGTAATTAGGTTGGAGGCCACCGCTAGGAGGTTGGATGCCATCGCTAGTAATTAGGTTGGAGGCCATCGCTAGTAGGTTGGCCATCGCTAGTAGGTTGGAGGGGCTGGAGGCCATCGCTAGTAGGTTGGCCATCGCTAGTAGGTTGGAGGCCATCGCTAGTAGGTTGGAGGCCTTGGCTAGTAGGTTGGAGGCCATCGCTAGTAATTAGGTTGGAGGCCATCGCTAGTTGGTTGGAGGCCATCGCTAGTAATTAGGTTGGATAGTAGGTTGGCCATCGCTAGTAGGTTGGAGGCCATCGCTAGTAGGTTGGAGGCCATCGCTAGTAGGTTGGCCATCGCTAGTAGGTTGGAGGCCATCGCTAGTAGGTTGGAGGCCATCGCTAGTAGGTTGGCCATCGCTAGTACGTTGGAGGCCATCGCTAGTAGGTTGGAGGCCATGGCTAGTAGGTTGGAGGCCATCGCTAGTAATTAGGTTGGAGGCCATCGCTAGTTGGTTGGAGGCCATCGCTCGTAATTAGGTTGGAGGCCATCGCAATTCTAAAGTAAAGTGAATGATCCACTCTTTCATCGGTCCACGACATGGCACCTGCCGTGTCTGTCCTGGTTCTTAAAGAAGCGGTCCAGCCAAAGGTTCTCATGCTTTCCACCACACATATAAAACTTTCCGCCTACCGCTCTCGCCGCAAAAAAGAAAAACTTGAGTCAGTTGTATAGCTTGACTGGCTGGGAGTTGCAAGCTGGGCCTGTTTCTGTGCAGAGTGAAGGACAGGGCCCATAGCATTTGCTGAAGCCTGCAAACGACTTTGAGCAGTAGTACCTTGGCTCACAGTCAGGCAGATCGCAGCGAAACAAGCTGAGACAAAATTGATCCAAACATGTTAAAAGTCACTACCCAAGTTGCTTGTCTTCTCGATCCTTGCAAAGGCAGTGCACCGCCCTCAGCTGTAAATAAAAACTCAACATGACTGTTGCACTGCAAGCTTCCAGATTCAAATCCTTGGCCGCCTCACCCATCACCAGCGCTTAGGCTATCCTTGCAAGTTCCACAAAACATTTAAACGATGCGACGTTCGGATTGGGAAAATGCTACTTTTCCCGAAACAGAAAACACCAAAGCAAACTTCGCCTGAGTCTTGGTCGAGTCTACTTGCAAGGCATTCACAGCCTCGCTCTTTCGAATGAATCGCAAAACTTGTAGGACGGTGAAGAAATCCTCAAACCTTCTGCGCGTGCACGTCAGTCAGGAAAGCAAAAGCCATCGTAGCCACGAAATGGACTGTAGGGAGCGACGGCCTAGAAGAGGAGGGCCTACGGGGAGTAGTGATGCACCTTGCCATCTGCGCGGACGGCCCGGAAAGTTACTAGCGATGGCCTCCAACCTAATAGCGATGGCCTCCCACCTAATAGCAATGGCCTCCAACGTAATAGCAATGGCCCGCGTGAGCCTCCAACCTAATAGCGATGGCCGCCCACCTAATAGTGATGGCCTCCAACCTACAGCGATGGCCTCCAATAGCGATGGCCTCCAATAGCGATGGCCTCCAACCTAATAGCGTGGGCCTCCAACCTAATAGCGATGGCCTCCCACCTAATAGTGATGGCCTCCAACCTATAATAGCGATGGCCTCCAACCTAAAAAGCGTGCGCCTCCAACCTAATAGGAATGGCCCCACCTAACAGCAATGGCCTCCAACCTATACCTAGAGCCATGGCCTCCAACCTAATAGCGATGGCCTTCAACCCAATGGCCTCCAACCTAAAGCGATGGCCCCGAACCTATACAAGCGATGGCCTCCAGCCTAATAGCGATGGCCTCCAACCTAATAGCGACGGCCGCCAACCTAATAGCAAAGGCATCCAACCTAATAGCGATGGCCTCCAACCTAAAAGCGACTGCCACCAAACTAATATAGCGATGGTCTCCAACCTAACAGCGATGCCCTCCCTAAATTACTAGCGATGGCCTCCAACCTAATAGCTTAAGGCCTCCAACCGATGGCCTCCAACCCAATAGCGACGGCCTCCAACCCAATAGCGATGGCCTCCAACCTAATGTGCCGATGGCCTCCAACCTAATAGCGATAGCCTTCAACCTAATAGCAATGATGGCCTCCAACCGACTAGCGATGGCCTTCAACCTAATTGCGATGGCCTCCAGCCTTGTCGCGACGGCCTCCAACCTAATAGTATAATGGCCTCCAACCCAATAGCGATGGTCTCCAACCTAATAGCGATGGCCTCCAACCTAATAGCGAGGGCCACCAACCTAATAGCGATGGCCTGCAACCTTTTAATAGCGGTGGCCTTCAACCTAAATACTAGCGATGGCCTCAACCTATATAGCGATGGCCTCCACCCCAATAGCGATGGCATCCAACCTAATAGCGACGGCCTCAACGGAATAGCAATGGCCTCCAACCTAATAGCGATAGCCTCCAACCGCGATGCCCTCCAATCTACTAGCGATGGCCTCCAACCTACAAGCGATGACCTCCAACCTACTAGCGATGGCCCGCAACCTAATTGCGATGGCCCCCAAGGTACTAGTGATGGCCTCCAAGCGAACAGCAATGGCCTCCAACCCAACAGCGACTGATCGATGGCCTCCAACCAAATAATAGCGATGGCCTCCAATAGCAATGGCCTCCAACCTAGAAGCGACCTAGTGATGGCCTCCATCTATAGAAGCGATGGCCTCCAATAGCGATGGCCTCCAACCTGTTATAGCGATTGTCCAACCTAATAGCGATGGCCTCCAACCTAATAGCGATTGCCTCCAACCTAATAGCGATGGCCTCCCTAATCACTAGCGATGGCCTCCAACCTAGAAGCGATGGCCTCCAACCTAATAGCGATGGCCTCCAACCTATAGAAGCGATGGCCTCCCTAATCACTAGCGACGGCCTCCAGCCTAGAAGCGATGGCCTCCAACCTAGGCTTCCAACCCAATAGCGATGGCCTCCAACCTAATAGCGATGGCCTCCAACCTTCTGGCAATGGCCTCCAACCTAGAAGCGATAGCCTTCAACCCAATAGCGATGGCCTCCAACCTAGAAGCGATAGCCTCCAACCCAATAGCGATGGCCTCCAACCCAATAGCGATGGCCCCCAACCTAGTGATGCACCTTGCCGTCTGTGCAGACCGCTCGGAATCGCGTCCCCTTTGGCCAAAGCCGCACAGCTCTCAGAGGTGCACTCGGTGTCGCTCTCCAAGGCGGCCTCCAAACTCAGAACTCGGTTTTTCAAACGGAAAGGATCCGTAGGGATTCCTCTGTTTTCGAAAACTGTTTTCCGCACAGCACGTAGAATTTGCATCACGTCAACCACCAACCTACTTGCAAAATCAAACACTGACACTCATGAGAGAAGCTTGACAAAGAAGTGGACCAATGTCAAAGATGTCACAATGTGCGTCTGCCGAAACGTCCTGTAAACCACAGGACATCAAGCAGGTTGAGTCATGTCTACCATGTCTACCAAAAGTCGTAAAAACGCTCGTCTTCACCTCCAGAGATGGAGCAGCCATGCTACCAACGGCAACAATGGCAAGAAGACCTACAACTCAGGGGAGACAATTTTTCTGCACAGGCCAAAGGGTTTGGAGTTCAACTAAGTGTCACCAAGAGTGCCCTGCACCATCAAGAAGATAGGTTGAAAGTGAAAGGTATTGAAATCAAGAGATGTACCTCTCTGACACGGCTGAGTGATCTGAGCTGCAAACTGCACCACATCATTGGATCCTTATTGCGCTGATCGTTGCTTAAACGACATCATTCCGCGCAACCCAAGGAAACGACACGGCCAGGCGTGGACTGGGGAAGAGGACCGGATCGCTTTGGGCCATGCGCACTCACGGAGGTGCACTAGGAAGAGTTGTTTTTTGGAGTTGGGGCATGCTTAGCATGCTTCATGAACTTCACGCGAAAAATACCAAAACGGTTTGGCATTGCTCCGCCGCATTTCATCACGGCTTCTCACGTTGCTTCCTTTTCTTCCGCCAGGTGCAAAGCTTTTGCGTCCGCAGCAGGTGAAATCTCGTCCACGGGATCATGGGACCTTCGAAAACTCATCCCAAAACGCTTGTTGTGTTCATGTCTAAAGTCGACCAAGAACCGAGCCTCTATTGCACAGTGGGTCTAGACTGAGGAAACTGCAACGTTGAGCCCTTGTCCTCAAACATTACTTTTTTTACATTCACCGAAGTTTCACCTCGCTCTGTCGGAATTCTCAAGACAGGTCGCCACAGATGCTGGACTCTCGGCAATGTTGCACCTGCTATGATGTTAAGATTCTTTTTGGACCTTGGGGGTAGGCCGCTAGAGGTAGTAGAAGCTAGGTAGCTAGTAGCTTAAGTAGCTATTAATGACTTCGGACGCAGGATAGCTCGCACACTATTCCTTTGGTTCCTAGATGCTTACGGAAACTTAATATAATATACTTCTCTGAGTTTCACACATGTTTATGTTTTGGAAACCTTTGGAACAATTTAGAGGTTGACACACGTTGTCACGTTGTCAAAAAATGCAAATTATCCCGGCCAGAGACCCCAAACAGTGTGTGTGAGGTCTGCAAGCAGAAAGTCTAGAGATCTAGATGCATTGGGGTCCAAAGAGGTGATGGTGGTGATGAAGTGAAGGTGGGTGTGAGTGAGTGTGGGTGAGAGGGAGTGTGCGTGAGAGTGGGAGAGTGAGTGTGAGTGCGGGTGTGAGTGAGAGTGAGTGTGGGTGAGAGTGTGTGTGGGTGAGAGTGTGAGTGAGAGTAAGAGTGAGAGTGAGGGTGAGTCACAGTTTGCTGTGCCTGCCACGCTTTTGCACTCGAGCCACATGTCGAAAAGTCACGATTCACTGCACCTGTCACGAAATCTGAGCTCCTCGACGATCACCAACATGTCCAAAGTGCTGCACCTGCCACGAAAACTGCATGACGAAGCAAAACAGCTCCGATCCCTTGCACCTGTCACGAAAAGTCGAAACACGAGGTTTCCCCTGCGCCTGCCACGAAAAGTGACCACCATGTGCAAAAATGCGCACGGCACCACAACGAGAGCGCAGTCGTTGGAAGCACCCGCCGTGGACACCCAGATTCAGCGAGCCTGCGCAGTCGAAGTGCACATGGACGATGTCGAGAGTCATGAGTCATGAATGTACTGTAAATAGCAGCGAATCAGCCGCACACGCCCGCGCGCTTCAGCGATCTGAGCATCAGCTGCTTTTCCCTTACCGTAAGAACCCCTCAGTGTGCCCACACTGTTTGGGGAACAAAGGGAAGGCTAAGGTTAAAGCAAAGATGTTTGCACAAAGGCAACCAAAAGGTTGAAAAAATGTGTGAACGCAGGACCGTCTCAGCAAAAGCCTTCCCTTAGAATTATCTTGCTCTGCTTAAGTTTGCTTTAAATGATAGAAATGGCACCCAACCGTTTAGGTTGAAGTGGAGTTCTTGCAGCTTTATGACAAGAGAAACTGGCCAGTGCGGCATCTGCAGAAGTGATTGCGTCCAGACCTGGAGATCATCACATGTCCAAGAAGAATATGCTGGACTAAAAAGGAACAAACATTGAGGCGCTGAATTTGTGGAACTATGCGACCTAAGAAGCTAGGCCCGCTAGGCTCAAAGCAACAGAGGCTTGGATTTCCCGTGTCAGGCTGGCAGCCAATGGCACCGCAGCTGCCTGAGGGATAGCTCTCACTCAAATGACATGAGCATCATTAACTCATTAACGGCATCAGAAGCTGCGGTTGGAATGATTTGAGGCACTGCTTAGCTACTGCTTCGCTACTCACTCGGCTCAAAGTGTCACATGAAGTGAGACGGACTATGCTTGGACTGAAACACTACCGCCCCTTACATGCTGACTTCGACAAGGGATGAAACAAGGACTCGACGGCTTTCACCAACGACTCGACAGTTTCTTCGACGAGTCGTCCACACCGGCACGGCACGGCGTGGCTGGCGTCGCTGGTGCGACAAAGACACAGGCTGTCGCCGCTGTCGCCTGAGGCTTTCCAGTGAGTGCCAGCTTCTTCGACTGGACCAGGTGTTGCGCCTGGAGGCTCTTAAGTTCGGCGGCCATTGCTAGAAAAGGAAGAAGGATGAAGAAGGTCCGATTTGGTCTGGCATCCGATGTATCCAAGTGGCAAGAGACAGTTCATGTCTCAACATCCTAAGAGTTCACATCATGTCCAAATCAACACATCATCGTGCCCCTTAGTGCCTTTTCTTCAGTGGAAAGCAGTGGCCTGTCTCTTTTCATTGGCTACATTGGCTGGTTAAAAGGGTCATCGGGGTTCACCAGCTTCACCTGCAACCTGCAACCGGCGGGAAGATCCTGGATGGCTTCGCAGAACTTGGTTGCATCCTCGGCAATGCTTTCGGCCTCGTCGGTCAAAAGGGCCGGAAAAAAGGATCACAAGTTGGCGAGATCAAGTGGCTCACAAGGTTCCAAAACTCAGTCTCACGAGATCAAACTGCTGGCTCTGACCAAAGCACCGGCCTCAGAGATCACCTGGGTAATCTCCTGTGCTTTCTGCAAGGTCTGACGCATCTCCTGTGCGTTCGGCAAGGCCACGGCTTCAGCCGACGCTTCCCCGAGCCTGGATGAAGCCGGCACTGGCTGCCTCGGTCACACTCGCTCTCGTTCTCTCGCTCTCGCATCATTTTTTGCCCCGCTCTGCCGTCAGCCTTGCACACCAGCAACTTGAGCTCGAAAGATCCAGAATCGCATTACTAGTAACAAGAAGCTACTAGGGTGGAGGCCATGACTGGGGTGTGTGGAGGCCATCGCTACTAGGGTGGAGGCCATCGCTACTAATATACCTACTAGGGTGGAGGCCATATACCTACTAGGGTGGAGGCCATCGCTATACTAGAGTGGAGGCCATCGCTATACTAAAGTGGAGGCCATCGCTACACTAGGGTGGAGGCCATCGCTACTAGCGTGGAGGCCATCGCTGCTAGCCTAGAGGCCATCGCTATACTAGGGTGGAGGCCATCGCTCGCCTAGGGTGGAGGCCATCGCTATACTAGGGTGGAGGGCATCGCTATACTAGGGTGGAGGCCATGACTAGTAGGGTGGAGGCCATGACTACTAGGGTGGAGGCCATTGCTACTATCG